TTGAAAAATGTGGATCAATTGAATTTTGTTGAAAATTTGTTATATGGACAAGTTCCAGAAGTGATGTTTTCACTAAGAAATAGTGAATTTTACTTTTGTCTTATAATTGTTTTACAAAAGTAGGGCCATTAGGGAATAGATGAAAAATGAAGTTCTTAATATTGAAAAAACTGTGTTATTGGTCTTCCTAATAAGAGATCTATACTGAAGTGTGTAATATATAGAACTATTTAATTTTCTTGATATCATTCTTGGTAGATTTTTGTTAGCGTGAAATTACATTTTTATCCTTGATCATAATTCACTCAATATATAAAAAGATGTTTCTAGAATTATTTACTATCTTTTAAATAGATTTTTGTTAGAATGAATTACATTTTTACCCTTGGTCGTCCTACATATTATTAATTTTTATCACACTTATTTCTTTTCAAGTATATTAATTAGAGCCAAATAAAGGTGAAAATAATTAATTCATAATGAATTTTTATATTAAAGTAGGCATTTTTGATAAGCATAAATAGAAAAAATTATTAAGCATTAAATTAAAGTAATAGTAAACTAGAGTAATGAATAGATATTACAATAACTCACAAAAGAAAAGAAAGTGAAGTAATAATGAAAATAAGTTAATGGTAATAACAAATAAAAGATGTTTCTAGTACTATTTAATTTTCTTGATATCATTTTTGGTAGATTTTTGTTAGTGTGAAATTACATTTTATCCTTGATCATAATTCACTTAATATATAAAAAGATGTTTCTAGAATTATTTACTATCTTTCTTAATAGATTTTTGTTAGAATGAAATTACATTTTTACCCTTAGTCGTCCTACCACTTCACTCTTCTATATAATAGAAAAAATAGAAATAGAAATAAAAAACAATAATATACTAATATTCATTATTCATTCTACGTTATATCCAGAAGAATTATTTTTTTCCAACAACTTAGAGTAGAAACAGATTTTTTAACAATTCAAGTATAATAAATGAAATTTAGCTCCTAAACTAAATTCTGAAATCCTAAACATTAGGATAGTAATTAAATAATAATTATTTAAGAAAATTAATAAATGTCAATTTTATCTATGGTAAATCTTTTAACGAAGGACAAACGGTTAAATCAATATATCTAAGGACATGCATACTTTATTTTGATATAATATAAATTTTAGACTACGTGATATTAGGTGAAATTATAAAAAAAATAAAAAATTACTGGAAGTAGCACAAAAATTATGCAACATAAACCTCTTTTAAGGAAGCACACTCTAACATCTTTGAATCATTTTTTTCTGAACTTAAGTTAGTATTCATGTGCAATAAAAGTCTCGCAGAAATCAAATACGATATCACTTATTACTAATAATCAGAGGCAGAGCCAGAATTAAGATTTTGGGAGTTCTAAATTTCCTTTAGAACCATCAATCAATTTTGTTAGGGGTTCTCAAATTAATATACATATATATTTAATTAATTTTCTTGTACATGACTCATCCAAACTCACACGTCACAAACCCCCCACCTAATTGTGCCTCTGCTTATTAGTGTCAAACATCTCGATAATGAAAAAAAAATCCATTAAAAAATTACGGAATCGAAATCCATAACCAACTCAAAAGGATGAATCATTAATGAATTGGTGCAAGAAATGATATCTCATAAGAGAGAACATAAATCGATTTGCCTAAAACCCTTTCTCAATTGGGCTTGCAAAAAAGCAAAACTATATACGAAACTTTGAATGTTGTAATTTCGATACAAAATTATAATCTTAGATATAGTGGTGCAACAAAGAATACTTGATAATCGCTCCTCAATATCAATAATGTCTTAATTCCCATTATAGCGTTACAATTAAAAGGTAAATCATAACAAACCCCTTAAAGGCTTAAACACAAATATCATGTCCTAAAGAATTTGCTAAAAAAAAAAATAGTCTTAAGATTTGGAGAGTTCGTTTGTGAGACTAGTAATCAAAGAAAAAGCCATTGGTGTGAGATGAGTCTTTCACAATTCACTCTAATCATAGCATATAAGGAATAGCAAATACGAAGAAAAAATAATTTATGGATGATGCTGGAGAAATAGGCTTAGTTTAGTGTCACTTAGTTATGTCCCAATTTATTAGTTCTTTAACCTATATATATATATATATATATATGCGCTTTCCAAAGTTGGAAAACGATATTCCCTCCATTTCATATTAATTGAATTTTTGAGGCATTTTTCATTTTTTCAAATTAACTTAATTGTTCAGTTTTCAAGACTACTTTTAGAGTGTTCTTCCAATTTTACCCTTCATTTGGATTTTCAATGTGATGACTTCAATAAATTTGACAATAATTAATAAGGGTAAAAATGGAAAACTATGTTCAATATATGTCTTGATTTACTTTTCTTAAAGAGTGTGAAGCACCTCAAAAATTCAATTAATATGGAATGGAGGGAGTAATTAATGCTCTTTTGATTGTTTAAATTGATAATTATTTTGAAACGAATATTTTTAGTATACATGACAACTAAAAAAGAACATGGGAGTACTACTTTTTACGTAGTTTCTGATAATATAGATTTTGTTTCAAAAATTTACACATTTCATTCCTAAATTTACGATCAAAATTATTGTTTGAATTTAAAAAACAAAAAGTATATATTACATATATAAATTGGGACAGAATTGGAGTATATGAAAAGACAAGAAAGTCTATGATATCATAAGTGCGTTGAAACTTCAACAAAATTCGTCTAAAATAGGGATATTGTGTATCAAGATTGTGGTGAGTGGTAAGTATTCTTTTCTTTTTAATCAGAGGTTTTAAGTTCGAGTTTTTTAGGTATGAAGTCGCCTTTGTTAGGGAGAGTTTTATTCTCGGGACTTCCTAACACAAATTTGAATTTAGTCGAACTTTAATGTGGATACCAAATCACGATGGAGAATCAAAAAGTTAGAATAATTGTGACACTACATATAGGTACATATACCTTGATGCTACTGATTGTGGTTTGATAAGAGACAAACCCCATGAGTTGTGATAATAAATAAGTAAAACAAACAAAAGAATCACCTCAAAATATTGAGTTCAAATCTAAGAGACTGAATACTTGCTACTATTAATTTGAAGATAACATGCATTGGTCGGCCAAGATGTTGCCTTGTAATTGCATTACAATCTCAAAAGATAGGGGGTAGGCACATATCAATGTAACAAGTGTGTGGACCAAAAATAATGGACATTTTATCTTCATTATTGAACTATTCAATACCTACCAATCACCAAGCAACTCCCCACCCCCTTCACCCCACTACCCCCAAAATCTCATTTGCCATAATTATTTATCAAAACATTTAGGGTTTGTTTGGAAAGCCACCTGGTAATTGGAATTGGTGTAATTACTAGGGTAGTAATTACTTGCCTAGTAATTACACTGACCTGATTGATTGCCATAATATAATTACACTGTAATTACACATGTCATGTTTGGATGTCACAATGTAATTACACATGTTGTGTTTGGATGCACAATTGCAATCGTAAAATTATATTAAATTTTAAAAATAAAAATTAATTATTTAAAATTTATACTAGACAAATAAGAAACTTTATAAATAAAAATTAAATATTTAAGAGATATATTCTTTTTTGAAAATATATTACTTAATAAACATATGTTCTTAACTAATATTATGAAAAAATTATTGATTTATATTTTTTCAAATTAATATATTTCAATTGAATTGATCATAAAAACTAAAAGTATAAAGTTTCTACGAACAATGAAATGCATGTTTGATAAAAAGATTAATATATAAATAATATGTCATAAATTATTAAATATTCGACAAAAAAATAATCTATCAAGTCTAATTAAAAAATGACTTGCAATGTGAATTCAATATTACTAAAACAAATGAAACTGAAAATATAACATAAGTTATAAATTCAAAACAAAAACTTTAACATAATACTCTTATAGCAAATTTCAACATAATACTAAATAAATTTATGCTAATGAGAAAATAAGCATGGCATAAAGAAATAGATAATACAAAAAAATTACATAGAATCACGTGAAGTAAGGTTGAAAACAAGAAGAAACTGAAATATAATAATATAAAATAAACTTCTAGAAATATTTAGAATAATAAAAATAAAAATAGAACTTAAAATAATAGAAGTGAAAAAAATTTAAAAATAAAAATAGAATTAAAAAAAAAATTAAAAGGTAATCATCAATTCACAACCTCTGTTTGTGAATTGGAGAGTGTAATTATCCCTTGTCAATTACACCAATTACCTGCTGACCAAGTAATTATCATGTCTAACCAAATAGAACAGACAGTGTAATTACACTAATTACACCAAATTCAATTATTAGGGTGTCCTTCCAAACAGGTCCAGTGGATATTTGGTCATGAAAATTAAATATTTTTTTCATTTTATTTTAATTTTCTGGAGTTAGAGTTGTGTTTAATCATACTTCCTCCGAAGAGTTTTAATATCCCCCAATTTCTAAATAATCGTGTTCATCTTTATTGTTGGTTTTGTATTCTTAACTTCAATTTAGTCGTAGCTTTCACGGTTTGATTACAAATTTTGTTAAGTTTATGCTTGCATGATTAGTATTTATCATTAAGTTCTTGAATTCTTCAAGTTAATCTTGTTCTTAAAATGATTTGACTCGCTCATCTATTTCAATTTCAGCTTATACAACTTAGGGTTACAAACATTAACTAATATGAACTCAAGTTGTTAATCCTTATTTGATTGATTTAGATTAGACATAATTGACTCTACTTGGCATAATCAAATGTTCTTAATCTCAACAATTCATATAGTTATACAAGAATATTAATTATAATCAGATCATCTATCCACTCTTTATTTATCAATACTCTCCAACTTTGAATGTACATAAATCGTGACTTTAACACAGCAAGTTGAAAAGAACATCAAGATAAACAAGAAAGCAATAAAGTTTGGAACAAAGAGAATTATACTCTAAAAACATACTTCTGATTACTAACCATTAATCCAAAATAAAAGCTTTACAAAGCTATTCAATATTTCCATCATTACTCTCATTAGAGTCTTCTTCACCATTACCACCAACTTAAGCACAAACACAATATTTAACATAACACTAAACTTATTCATCACTGCCTTTTCTTCAATCTCCTTCCCCTTAAATACAATAACCCCCTTCCTTCCATACTTAATCCCCAGACCTAAAATATAAATAATAATAAGTAAATAACAAGAAGAAATTATTCGCATTTTTAATCTAATTTTCTCAAATTTCAGACCTTTTCACTTCTCCATGTCTAAAAAAATTCATGGAGAAAACTGAAAGTTCCAAAATTTGAGAATTTAGGAGCGAATATGAAAGATTTATAGTAATATATAAGTCAACCTTAAAGCTAATTAGAGACTGGGGAATCATATATAGTCCCTTCCAAACTAGTTAAGAATTATAAGAGGTAATTCTGGAGAATACGGGTCGGATCCGCTACTCGAGTCGGAGCAACCTCCGTAAATCTCTCGAGGCGGAATCATCAAACGGTTTGAATTCTACTTGCTTTTTGTTGTTGTTGTTCATGTTGTTGAAGAAAGAGGGTAGAGGAAGAGATCTAGGCGATGGAGAATTCGAGAAAGCAGATCCAGCATACACGTCGGTCGGAGTATGCCCGACCCGGATATTTTTGGGTAACATCCCGGGTTGGTCCGGACCCAATCTTCCGGTACCGTAAACCGTCAACTCATCACCGCTACCACTCGCCGGTTGTTTCTTCTTCTTACCCGACGACGTCGTTTTGTTCTCATTCCTGATATTCGGGTTCAGAGAATCCAACGACTCTCCCCTTCTCAAAATCATTACCTGACCCATCACGATTCCGCCGTCCACCGCCGGTGTAACTCTCCCGGGGATCTGAACCGGTTTCGATTCCTCAGATCTCCTCGAAATTGACGGCTCAGATTGGTTCTGGATCTTGTTGTTCAACTTCTTTTTCTCCGTTCTAACAACCGGTTTCCGGTAACCGTTGTTATAGTATCCATTATTTTTCCGACGATGAAACGCCGCCGCTGGTTGTGGTTCCCTGAACCTGTCAATCAAACAATTTTGTGGACGCAAAACTTCTGTTCCCATTTTTACTTCTCAAAACAAGAAAAAGGAAATCAAAATTTGTACAAATAAATACCCAAGAAAGAAAAAATTGCAAAGGCTCTTTCGACCTTCAAAGGGGTGATTTAATGGCAATTAATAAAGAAAATAGGTTTCTTCTTCCTGGGTTTTCCGATTCCTTAAGGGAAAAGAAGAGAGAAAATTCTCCCTTAAACTATATTTCTTCTCTGTAATTGAGAGAGATTTTGTTTTTGTTTCAATATGGAGATAATATGGAAGATTGGGAGATTTATATATACAAAAAAAAGAAGAAAAAAAGGAAGCGCGTGATGCACGCGATTGGTTGTGCGAGTGGGGGTTTATATAAAGTCATGTTTGGTTAAGCCGTCTAATTTGATTTTCATATTTTATAAGCGGCTGACCTAAGACCGAACCATTCACGTGTGGGACCCAGATTGTCTTTCCGTTATTACGGTGACTTGTAATCCGTTAGTCTACGCGCTTGTCGTTTTCTTATAGTGTCTAACGGCGTTAAGTTTTGGACGGTGAGTTGTTTTTCGTCGTCTTAAAAGGGGAAATTATTTGAGGGGACCATGTGTTTGTTGTGTGATACTTCAAGTCTCTTTCCTTTTCTATTACCTAATAAAAACTTTAATATTTTTTTTTATTTAAAAATTTAAAAAATATTTATATTACTGGCCTTTGATTGGTTTTCTTTGTTAATATCTGCCACGTCATTTTTGAGTAAATTGTGGACGTTATCTCCAAATTTTATCATGATTTTATGAGATGTTGATCCTCTTATCATGGATCTGATATTCTAGAAAATTATTTTGTTTCTTAAATTTAAATGTCATTTTATCTTTTTTTAAATACGCTCATATCGATAATTTAAACTTTATATTTATAATACGAAAAAGGTTTATATGTTCTTTTAAGTTATGTAAAAATTGAACGAATATTTTATTGCTAATACTTTAGCACAAATATATTCTTATTGTTTACTTAGTCTAAATTTGCCCTTATTGTAATGGCACCCAATTAATAAGTGAAAAGAACAAATATTTTTTCAGGAGTTGTTAGGCAGTTGGATAAGAAACAAGTTCATATATTAATTTTGTATAATTGATAAAACGTTCGGTAGATAGATAGAAAATAAGTTATTCATGTATAAAATTAATATGACATTTAATTACAATTTAGAAATTCACATAACTAATACATGTATAGGTTATGAGAAAATACATATTTTATTTTATGCAAATAGGTTATGAGAAACCCCATGTATTATTTTATGCAATTTGAAAGGTGGAATAACTAATATACAATTAACTAATCTATGCATAACTACAAGTTTAATATATATATTTTCTACTCGAGTTTATGTAATAAAAACAAGGGTAAATGGTCAAATATGTCCCTAAACCATTTGAAAAGATCTAGATATACCCTACGTTTAAAGTTTGGCTCACTCATGCCCTCGCCATCCAACTTGTTGTCTAAATATGCCCTTATGAGCGTTAGTTGGCCTGCTGGACATATCCAACTCATTTTCCATTTCTTTAAATGCCACATAGAATTATCATGTCATTTTGACTTTACCACATGACATTTATATGAAAATGGAAAGGGATCAATTATGCCCCTAAAAAATTTGAATCCATAAACACCTAATCCGACCCATAAATCAACCCTCCTTTTAAATAAACTACCCGACCCGTTTACAACAATTTTGTTTAAATTTTTATTTTTTTCGATAAATCCCGAAAATTAGTAATTGATTAATAAAAAATAAAAAAAATATGAAAAAAATATAAAATTAACGCCAAAAATTCACAAATAAATATTGTAACCTTAAATTCAACAATTTCAACAATTTTTTATTTTTAAAAAAATGTCGGTAAATCCCGAAAATGAGTAATTGATTAATAAAAAGTATGAAAAATATATATAAATTAACGCCAAAAAATCACAACTAAATATCGTAACCTTAAATTCAAAATTCAACAATTTTTTTTAATTTTTATTTTTTTAAATAAAATACTCATTTTCGGAATTTGCCGAAAAAAATAAAAATTAAAAAAAATTGTTGAAATTTTTGAATTTAAGGTTACTATATTTGTTTGTGATTTTTTGGCGTTAATTTTATATATTTTTTATTAATCAATTACTCATTTTCGGGATTTATCGGAAAAAAAAAATTAAAAATTGTTGAATTTAAGGTTACAATATTTATTTGTGAATTTTTGGCGTTAATTTTATATTTTTTTTCATATTTTTTATTAATCAATTACTAATTTTTGAGATTTATCGAAAAAAATAAAAATTTAAACAAAATTGTTGAAAACGGGTCGGATAATTTATTTAAAAGGGGGTTTGATTTATGGGTCGGATTAGGTGTTTATGGGTTCGAATTTTTTAGGGGCATAATTGATCCCTTTTCATTTTTCATATAAATGTTATGTGGTAAAGTCAAAATGACGTGGCAATTCCATGTGGCATTTAAAGAAATGAAAAATGAGTTGAATATGTCCAACAGGCCAACTAAAGCCCATAAGGGCATATTTAGACGAAAAGTTGGACGACGAGGGCATGAGTGAGCCAAACTTTAAACAAAGGGTATATCTAAACCTTTTCGAATAATTTAGGGACATATTTGACCCTTTACCCTAAAAACAAAGCCAAGCACCAATTTCTTAGTACGGATATATGAAAAGTTTAGATTAAGTTTTTTTTCACCGTCAATTTATGCGTTCTTTCTACTTTAGTCGTGTCCAAAATTAAGGATAGAGTAACTTCCACCAAGTTCTTATATTTATATATAAAAAAAAATTGCATTAAATTTTTCATATTAGGGGAGATAGGATAAAAAATAATGATATTTAGGATAAGATGGAAGTGACCTTTGTAGTGAATAAGATGATCAGAAAAACGTGTCTGAAATAGTTTGGATTAATATGTAAAAACAATGTGATGTTTCACATATAAACATCACATTGAAGCTCGAAACAAAAAATAAATTGAAGCTCTAAACAAAAATATGAAATTATTAAAGCATATATATATATATATATACACACACACCAGAGCATCAAAATATTTTTGACAATTTCCTTCCATTTTCTTGACTAATTATACATAAAATTTCATGAAAATAATCTTTCTCTTAATAACCAAGTTTGAAGATTCTTACCGACAATCTTATAAAGACAAACATTTAAAGAAATTGACACTTTTTTTTATTTCTATGCCAAATAGGGTTTATATACGAAGTTACAAGAAATTGAAGCTATAATCTCCTTGTTTGAATAACTAATCTTCAATTTTTAATTCATTTTAGCTTTAGATTTTCTAATTTCACGTCAATTTAATCCTACAAAATAAAATACACTATTAAGCACGATCCATAAAATCAATGCTAATATATTAAAATGAGGCAATTAATAATTAAAAATATGTATTTTTGGCCTCTCAACAATAGCCAACAAATCAAATTGAGATTTGAAGTTTTGAACAACGGTTTACAAAAGAATTGGACTCTTGTAATAATTATAATATTTTTACTTTTTTTAGACACGACACAAAAAATAAAACTCTTAAACTAAAGAAGTTGAAAGTGTGCTGGAAATAAATATCCTATCAAATTTAGTACCGTAATAATCCATATTTTCTTCTTTCTCCCTTTTTGTTCATCAATTTTTTTTTATCCGAGGATCATTTTACTAAATAAAAGTCAAAAGTAAATATGTACAAAAAGCTAAAAAGGAAAAACCATGCCTTGAACCATAAATGGATCCGGCCCAACTAAAAGTATAAGAAGAGTTTCCAATCTACTCTTAGCTAAGAGTGCTCCTTGTCTAGTTTTTCAAAAAACTCTAAACCCTTTTCTTCTTTTCCAGTCGCTTCATTTCTTGATAAAAATCAGTAGTCTTTGAGCTACTGATTCTTTTTCTTTTCAGATTTTTGCTTTCTCTTTTACGACACACTTTAAAACTTTTTTTTTCACATTAGTGTTGCATATGTACATTACAACTTCTAATATTTTATTAGAAAAAATAGAACCTATTGATTATTTCTTCTTTTGTTCTTATCATATATTACATTTATTTATTTTTCGTACACACACAACTAAAAATCTGCCAATATTAACTCTACACATATAATTAAATAATAAATTGAGAAAAATAATAAATGACAGATTTGTCTATTGTAGTCTTTAATGAAGGAGAAAAAATTCAATCAACTTTTCTAAGCCATGTGTTTGCAATGCATTATCTTAAATATTATTGTAAAAAAGTTATTTATTAATATAAAATTTGAATAATTTAATTGAAAGTTCTACAATATTTATGCTAAATGTAGGTTATTTTTCTTTGACATAATACATAAACATGACTCTTAACTTGGTGTCAGTTGACAATTATGGCCTTTAACTTTGGATAAGCATAAGTAGGAACTTAAACTTGTATAAAATTAAACAAACATACACATTCGTCCTACATGACACCCTACATGACAATTTTGTGTCCTACGTGGCATCTTATGTGTATTGTGTCATGTAGGACAAGTGTGTCTACTTGTTCAATTTTATAAAAGTTTAAGTGTCTACTTGTGCACACTCAAAGTTAGAGGGCATAGTTGTCTGTTAAAGCTAAGTTAAGGATCATGTTTATGTATTATGCCTTTTTCTTTCTTTCCTTTTCTATATAAAATTTGCACTTTTTTTACTATATTTAATATTGCTTAAGCAAAATCAAAATTTTAAAATTCACTAGTAAATATTTTGGGGCCTCAAAATTTTGGGGATAAAAAACAAATTGTTAAAGTGTTCTGAAATTGTTTAATTATTTGAGAACAACTATTGAAAAAAGTCCATTATCACAGATTCACGATGCTATATCTATATATGCAAACATAATTTCTTAGTCTCGATCATAAAATAGTTGGTCGGTCTCTCTTTCTATTACGTGATTATTATTATCAAAATTAACCACTTGCAAACTTTCCTCTTAATTATTTAATTCAAAGCCAATAATCTAAAGCCACCACCTATAAAGTCTAATATAAGTAAATAACATGATTGATTATGACAACAATCTAGTAGGCCACAATTCTTATTATTTTATTAGAGGCTAATAATGGCCATGGTGGGGATTTTTGCATTTGGACCTTTTGTTTTCATCAATTAGTACAAAAAAGAAAATTAATTATTTAGTCAAATAATGACTCTATTTTTAGCTAGAAAGAATGTGACATT